GTGTCTCAGTGTGTCTCAGTGTGTGTATCAGTGTGTCTCAGTGTGTCTCAGTGTGTCTCAGTGTGTATCAGTGTGTCTCAGTGTGTCTCAGTGTGTCTCAGTGTGTCTCAGTGTGTGTATCAGTGTGTCTCAGTGTGTATCAGTGTGTCTCAGTGTGTCTCAGTGTGTATCAGTGTGTCTCAGTGTGTATCAGTGTGTGTCTCAGTGTGTCTCAGTGTGTCTCAGTGTGTCTCAGTGTGTCTCAGTGTGTCTCAGTGTGTGTGTCAGTGTGTCTCAGTGTGTCTCAGTGTGTGTCTCAGTGTGTCTCAGTGTGTCTCAGTGTGTCTCAGTGTGTATCAGTGTGTCTCAGTGTGTGTGTCAGTGTGTCTCAGTGTGTCTCAGTGTGTCTCAGTGTGTATCAGTGTGTCTCAGTGTGTCTCAGTGTGTCTCAGTGTGTCTCAGTGTGTCTCAGTGTGTCTCAGTGTGTTTCAGTGTGTCTCAGTGTGTCTCAGTGTGTGTGTCTCAGTGTGTGTCTCAGTGTGTCTCAGTGTGTCTCAGTGTGTCTCAGTGTGTCTCAGTGTGTCTCAGTGTGTCTCAGTGTGTGTCTCATGTGTCTCAGTTGTGTATCAGTGTGTGTTTAATGGACTGTGTGTTCAAGGTTGAGCTCTAATGGGTTCTGCTTCCATTGGATCCATTAAGGAGAAACGATTCTCTGTCTGAACGACTTTAAGTAGCAAAACTTCAAACGTTCAGAAAATCAAAACTGAATTTCTGCTTCATAAAGACAATAAAAAGAGAGATCAGCAGCTGGAGGAAAAGTCAGATCTGATCCTAAATGAATCAAATTAACTCCAGATGTTTTCTCTGAACTGATTTTCATGTTAAAATGTGAATATTTTAGATTTTTGCTCTTAAATCTCAGCAGCTGCTGATTTTAATGCTTCAGACTCCAAATATGTCCTGAGGTCTGAGAGCAGCTAATGCTAATGCTAACTAATGCTAATGCTTTGTTGTAAACAAATATTTTAGTCATGAGTAATCTATAGATTACTGTTCCGATTAATCCAATAATCAGATTCAACTATTTATAAAACATGGACTAATTCCTGTTCATATACATATGAGTCCAATGTTTCATTTTTAGCTTCTATAACGTTTTCCTGAAGAGGAGGAAGTCAGAGCTCCGCGCAACGCTCATAATGCCCCCGCCAGAACACGCCGCACAATAATAAAACATAAACTAACGAAGCTTCAGGTACATTTTCCTCCAGGAGTTTTAATGATCAGGGAAGTCGAATCATTGGAGGGAAAACTTTCAGCCCTAATGCTAACGCTAACGGCCTTCCTCATATTCCCTGTTTGGTTTCAGCCAATCAGCAGCAAGGGAAATGCAAGGCTGCTACGCTAACATGTTAGCGTAGGTGTTAGCGAGTGGAGCATTCAGCTTCTAAATATTTATTTACATCCACAGAAAAGTGTTGGCTGGATTATTTCATTAGATTTCATCCATCCATCATCCATCCAACATCCATCCATCATCCATCCATCCATCCATCATCCATCCATCATCCATCCATCTTCTGCCGTTTATCCGGGTCGGGTCGCGGGGTAGCAGCCACTTCCTCTGGGGGAATCCCGAGGCGTTCAAATATTTCCACTCCAAATGGAGCAAAATAAATAAATGAAGTGAGAAATTCTTTAACATGTTTCCTTCGTCTTGTAGAGAAACTTCTTCTTCTCTCCTCATGATGGCGCTCACACCGGCTCCAGTTTTTGGCGAGTTATTCCCTCCCACTGTCGCCACTGCTAACCAACTGGTTTACAGTATCAGCTGAATGTTGCATGTAGGGATGAAAGGTGAAAGTTCAGCTTTGGCTCTCTGAGGAGTCCAGGTCACACTTGATGGTTATAGTTGACGATTATTTTAAACAACTGATGAATCTGATCAGTTGTTGAATCTTAACTGTTGATAAGCAAACCAGCCAAGTAATTTCAGGAAGCTAAAAGTTTCCAGGTTAGCAAAATGTTGCAATGCTAAGCTAATGGTTAGCGGATTAGCAGAGCGCTTCCTGGCTGATGAACTGTTAAGATGAGACTCCTGGTGTTTTTACGAACGTCTGTGATGGAAAACCTGCCGAGTGAAGAGCAGCTCAACTTCCTGGAAAATAAGCTAATCGCTGATTAGCGCCGCTGAGGCTCAACAAAAGCAGCAGCTGCAGGTTTGAATCCCAGCCTGCCGCGGTTACCGCATCACACCTGGGCGCTAATCCTACAACCGCCCTCTGACCTTTCACTCAGGACACGCTTAGATTATTATTAAGCCCTGAACATGGAAAAACATCATGAAGTATAAAGACAAAATCTGAGAGGAAAAAATGTTTTTGTGATGGGAGGAAGACGCTCCATTGATTGGTAGTGTGTGTGTTTGACCACCAGGAATGACGCTACGCTGTGTGTGTGTGTGTTGTGTGTGTGTGTGTGTGTGTGTGTGTGTGTGTGTGTGTGTGTGTGTGTGTGTGTCCTTGACAGGCAGGATATAAACGAGCCGCTCCAAGCTTCAGAGCACAGCAGCGACCAAGAAGAAGAAAGAAGTCTTCACCTCCCAGAATCCACCAGCAATAATAACAAGAAGAAGAAGAAACATCAAACTGTGGTGAGTTTTTGATTTTTCACTCTGTTCATCAGAAATTCAAATGTTTAGATTCAATAAAACAGAAAAGTTAGTTTTTAGCTAACGCCTTAAAATAAACTGTCATGTTTGGAATCTCACCTAAAATGTTTTATTTTCTTCATCATGGAAGTTTGATTATTTATTACAGCCATAAAAATGTTAAGGATGAAACATTGAAGTGGTTAATAATGAGATGTGGTCTGTGATTGGTGGACAGGTCATGTGTCCTGCGTGGCTATTGGTGGCCGTGGTGGTTGTGGGCGGAGCCAGAGGAGCGGCCAGCCAATGCTGGGAGAGTCTGAGCTGCCAGGATCTGAACAGCGAGAGCAGCATGATGGTAAAATGATCCTCAATATTCAACCAAACCACATCAATCACTTTCACGTTCAATACTAATCAATATTGGTTTTTCCTGATCAAATTCACCGATCAGCTCATCCGTCAGCATTTTTATTGAGATCAAAATTACAGGTTTTGTGGAAATAAATTAGAAATATTAGCATTTTGTGATATTATATCTGATGGTAAATGAGGCAGTAGAGGAGAAAATGAATACTGCCACCTGCTGGTGGGAGGTAGCATCGCTGATAATGATGCGTTAGTGAAAAATGGGGCTTATTTTTGATTTATGTGATTTTCATCTAAAAAAACAGAACAAAAAAAACTTTTTGATTGAAAAATGACTTTTATTGATAATTAATCTAGATTGTTGAGCAATGTAGTTCCATAACGTTTAAGTGAAAAGCCTGGTTTCATTTGTTTTTAAAATCCTGGTTAATTTTCATTTTATTTTCTAAATCGGTTCTGAAGAATATTTGGGTAAAAAGCTTTTTAAATTAAATTTCCTCTGCCTACATGCCCCAGAATGCCTTGCGGTAGCCGTATTATTGATCAGATCCAGTGAAATGTTTGCTATCAAGTTTAATGTTATTGTGGTTCAGAACAATATTAAGGCTCAGCTGGATCTGATCCTCTGGGTCGGCAGGACTGCATCCACGCCTGCCGCTCCGACCTGACGGCCGAGACGCCCTGGTCCCAGGTGACGCCCACCTGTCGCCGCCCCCCCGACCCCGCCGCCCCGCAGGCCAAGCGCTCCTACTCCATGGAGCATTTCCGCTGGGGGAAGCCGGTCGGCCGCAAACGCCGCCCCGTCAAGGTCTACGCGTCCAACGACGTGCAGGAGGAGTCGGCCGAGGCGTTCCCCGCCGAGATGAGGAGGCGCAGCGACGAAGAGGAGGACGAGGAAGAGCAGCTGCTGCAGGAGAAGAAGGACGGATCCTACAAGATGAAGCACTTCCGCTGGAGCGGCCGCCGGCGGGGAAACGCTACGGAGGATTCATGAAGAGCTGGGAGGAAGGGAGGCAGAAACCGCTGGTCACACTGCTGAAGAACATCATCAACAAGGAGGAGCAGGTGTAGCCAATGAGAACGCCGCGCCTCGCCTGGTGTAGCCAATGAGACGCTGCGCTGGATTTCACATTCATGACTCCATGTAAATAACTGTATTTATTATATGAGTTATTTGCAAGCAAAAGGAAAGACGAGTTTGTCTTTTTTTCTTTAAACCAGCTCAGTGGCCTATTCAAAGTACAGTCATCAAATTCAACTTTAAAACTAATCATCCGAAACGGGAACAAAAACATTTACTGGGTTTTCACTCCAACAGAAACAAAAAAGAACCAAATGGACTGTTTGGTTCTGGACTGTTTGGTTCTGGACTGTTTGGTTCTGGACTGTTTGGTTCTGGACTGTTTGGTTCTGGACCTGGAGACCAGAACTTCAACTGTTTATCAATAATAAATCCCCTTTAAAGTTTTCATGTAACCATTCAGTTGCAGTCACTATGGTAACAGTCACTATGGTAACAGTCACTATGGTAACAGTCACTATGGTAACAGTCACTATGGTAACAGTCACTATGGTAACAGTAACTGGTCTGAAGAACCAGAACTTTCAACTGAACAAAGATCTGATTATTCTGAACAGGAACCAGATCAACGGCTTTTATTCCTTAAATATGTCCATAAATTGAGTTCAGCTGCAAAGTAAAGCTGCTTAGTCATTAAAAATGAAAGTTTTATTATAATTTAGTCCATTGCATAAAGTCTCTCTTCCTGCTCTGACATATTTTGATGCTGAAGTTGCATTAATGATCAATTCATGCTGCAGTTCAAAGTTCCTCCACTAGAGGGAGACATCCTGTCACCTGACAGGTGGATTGAAACTGGTTCCAGGTTTTTCTCTTTCCGTTTTCTCTTTAGAGTTAGAGTTTCTCTTTCCTGTTGCTTTTAATGTCAGGAAAGTTGCAGAAAGTCTGAACTGAAGCGGAAAAACTGCCAACAAGTTTAAATATTGGAGCAGAATCAGATTTATTTCAACAGATTATGTCAGGCTGGTGTATCGCAGCACTCGGTTCTGGTCCGAACAGACGGGTTCAGAGAATCCTGGAGAAACATGAACGCACCACCAGCAGACCAGCAGGGTTCCACTTGGAGCTGCAGTCCAGGTTCTGGTTCTGGTCCAGGTCCAGGTTCTGGTTCTGGTTCAGGTCTGAACTCGCTGCAGTCCAGGTTTTGATGGAGCTTCAATCGTTTCTCCACACAAGAAAAGTTCCTGAAGAGCAAAGAAACATTTCAGAACTAACGAGGTTCAACAAACTCTCAGTTTCTTCAAGAAGGTCGGGTTCAGGTCAGCGTATGAAACTCGGGTCAACATACTCATGACCTAACCCTCCCCTGGAAAGGTCAAAGGTTACCTTGTCATAGATGACTCTCAGGATGAGCGAGCAGCTGGGACATGCGGCCACCTCCTCTCCGTTCTCCAGGTCCTCCTGCAGCAACAAACAGGGACTGAGGTCAGCCAGCAGGTCAAAGGTCAACGTGTAAAAGCCACAACATGGACATATCCAGCAGGATTTACAGAGGAGGATTTGGGTTCAGCGGGAGGTAAAGAACAGAAATAAGAGCTTTCACTTCAAATCCGGCTAAAAAGCTATTAAAACAAAAATAACTTACAAAGCAAAATAATAACATAACTTCCAAATAAGTGGAGAAATGTGTCATGATCTGCAGCCGAATCACGCCGAACACTTTACTGAACGATAAGGAACATGTTTCTGTGAGCGGGTCAGTGTCGGTGTGTCCTACAGCTGAATCTAAGTTAAAATCCCAGATCTGATACGGACTTTGGCTAGGACCGCGGAGGCGACGCTCACCTTGGTTATACAGAAGCGGTCACCACAGGGACAAGGGAAGTAATAGGCCTCCGTCTCCTCGTCAAACTCAAAGTCCTCGATCTCCACCTCATCATGAAACACCGACATATTTCCCCGGAGACACCATCAGCTGCTTCTACCGGGCATTTACCGCGACACGCTGATCAGCAGGCTGCGGCGCGGAGTGATGACGTCTCTGTCTCTCGCTGTGACGAAGGCGTGAGACAGTAGTAGCAAAGCTAGCTATGCTACTACAGGCAGTTTATTACAATCAAACAGGTGTGTGTGTGTGTGTGTGTGTGTGTGTGTGTGTGTGTGTGTGTGTGTGTGTGTGTGTGTGTGTGTGTGTGTGTGTGTGTGTGTGTGTGTGTGTGAGCAAGGATTTACAGCTTATAGACAAAATGACGTCTCAGATGTTGGTTGGATAAAATTCAAGCATTTATTAAATATTTAAAATATACAAAATTAGCTGAGAGGATTTAGTTTGTATGTTTGTGTGAGCGCATAAGTATGGATATAATTTAGTTATTTTAAGTTTTGTAGATATATAAGGAAAATGTATTTGTGGATTACATCTCCGTCCACTTGATGGCGGTAATGCACCACATTTTTAAACTGCCAGAAAACACTATAGAAGAAGAAGTTGTTCAGGCAGTGAGGGATGCACAGCCTGGAGTCCAAACATGCAAGTTTTTACAATATTTCCGTCATGAAAGCACAGAATGAACAGTTTGATGTAAAACATTGACCTTTGAACTTTGCAGGTAAAAAACTGCAGTGGTGGAGGACAGTGATGGATGATGGATGATAGATGGATGGATGGATGGATGATGGATGGATGGATGGATGGATGATGGATGGATGGCTGTTGGATGGATGGATGATGGATGGATGATAGATGGATGGATGGATGGATGATGGATGGATGATGGATGGATGGCTGTTGGATGGATGATGGATGGATGGATGGATGGATGGATGATGGATGGATGATGGATGGATGGCTGTTGGATGGATGGATGATGGTGGATGATAGATGGATGGATGGATGGATGATGGATGGATGATGGATGGATGATAGATGATGGATGGATGGATGATGGATGGATGGATGGATGGATGGATGGGTGATGGATGGCTGTTGGATGGATGATGGATGATGGATGGATGATGGATGGATGGATGATGGATGGATGGATGGATGGATGATGATGGATGATGGATGGATGGCTGTTGGATGGATGGATGATGGATGGATGATGGATGGATGGCTGTTGGATGGATGGATGATGGATGGCTGTTGGATGGATGGATGATGGATGGATTATGGATGGCTGTTGGATGATGGATGGATGATGGATGGATGATGGATGGATGATGGATGATAGATGGATGGATGATGGATGGATGAATGGATGATGGATGGATGATGGATGGATGGATGGATGGATGGATGGATGATGGATGGATGATGGATGAATGATGGATGGCTGTTGGATGGATGGATGGATGATGGATGGATGGATGGATGGATGGATGAATGATGGATGGATGATGGATGGATGATGGATGGCTGTTGGATGGATGGATGGATGGATGGATGGATGGATGAATGATGGATGATGGATGGATGGCTGTTGGATGGATGGATGATGAATGGATGATGGTTGGATGATGGATGGATGATGGATGGATGGCTGTTGGATGGATGATGAATGGATGATGGTTGGATGATGGATGGATGATGGATGGATGGCTGTTGGATGGATGATGAATGGATGATGGTTGGATGATGGATGGATGATGGATGGTTGGATGATGGATGGATGATGGATGGATGATGGATGGATGGATGTTGGATGGATGATGAATGGATGATGGTTGGATGATGGATGGATGATGGATGGTTGGATGATGGATGGATGGATGTTGGTTGGATGGATGATGGATCCTGTGCTGACCGGATATACAATATCAGAACAAACTTTATTAACAGTGTATTTATTGACAGTGAATGAGTTGCTGTGTAATATCCTCTGTAATCCCGGCGTCCGCCAGCAGAGGGCGCCACACAAAGCTCCCCTGCTTTGTGTGTTGCGGCGCAGCATCAGCTGCTGTTTCAGGCCAGCAGCACTATGGGCGGCAACCGCGCGGTTGCAGCCGGGGCTGTCCGCCTCGCAGGGCTCTGCACCCGGATCCAGAGGCCGCTGCGGCCGGAACCAGAACCGGGACCGCAGCCTCAGTCTGGGCTCGGAGGAACCTGAGCGAACCGGCGGCCGCCGAGCCGCGCAGGAGCTGAAGAGCGGCGCGGAGCTTCCGGGACCCAGTTGGTTCACCACCCTGTACTGGCTGTTCATCAGGGGCTACGGGGCCAAAGGTCATCTGCTGCAGGTAACACACACACACACACACACACACACACACACACACACACACACACACACTGCTGCAGGTACACACACACACACACACACACACACACACACTGCTGCAGGTAACACACACACACACACACACACACTGCTGCAGGTAACACACACACACACACACACACTGGTTGTATTTCATTTAGTTTCAGCCAAAAATGACTTTCTTTATTTTATATGTAAATTTAAATGTTTTTTCAAGTAAAATCTAAAACTTTTGTGCTGAAACATTTTGGAGATGATCCGTTGAACCCGTTCAGAACCGCTGGGTCCATTTGGATCAGAAGGTTTAAAGCTGCTGCAGGTGAAAACTGAGATCATGTTACACCAGCAGAACCAGCAGAACCGACACCAGAACCATGACAAGATGCTAACAGCTGTTAGCTTCTGTGAGACGGATCTATGTGTTCAACAGTTTCTGCTGATTAATGAACCAATCAGTTTATCAATAAACAATATTATTGATTCCTGCATCAATACAAACTTAATGTGGCATCAAAACTTTCACTTTTATTGTGATTCCAATGAAAATGGAGGCAAAACGAGCCAAATATCCAGCTGGACATACTGGGACATACTGGGACATACTGGGACACATGATGGGAAATACACTCATGACGTCACACCGACTGTCTGCTTGTTCAATGTCTCTGAGCTTCCAGTTTCTGTCAAGATGCTAAAGTTAGCAATGATGCTGACATTAGCATCTTGGCTAATTGTGTCAGTGTGTCTGGCTACTGCAGGGCTTCAGTCCTACAGGATTCATTCTCTACCTGCTAGTGGCTACATTGTAGCTCACTTTAGCTCTCATGCTAACTGTTAGCATGAGAAATTTTCTATTTATTAAATAATGTTGATGTTCTGCTGGTTTAACAGACAGGAAGTTCAGCAAGATGTGGATGCAGAGCAGATGCTGTTACTGTGTGTCAGTGTGTGTTAGTGTGTGTTAGTGTATCAGTGTATCAGTGTGTGTCTGTGTGTGTGTTAGTGTGTGTCAGTGTGTGTCAGTGTGTGTCAGTGTGTGTCAGTGTATCAGTGTGTATCAGTGTGTATCAGTGTGTGTCAGTGTGTGTCAGTGTGTGTTAGTGTGTATCAGTGTATCAGTGTGTATCAGTGTGTATCAGTGTGTATCAGTGTGTATCAGTGTGTCAGTGTATCAGTGTGTATCAGTGTGTATCAGTGTGTATCAGTGTGTATCAGTGTGTATCAGTGTGTGTCAGTGTGTGTTAGTGTGTGTTAGTGTGTGTATCAGTGTGTATCAGTGTGTGTCTGTGTGTGTGTTAGTGTGTATCAGTGTATCAGTGTGTATCAGTGTGTATCAGTGTGTATCAGTGTGTATCAGTGTGTGTCAGTGTGTGTCAGTGTGTGTCAGTGTGTATCAGTGTGTATCAGTGTGTATCAGTGTGTATCAGTGTGTATCAGTGTGTGTCAGTGTGTGTCAGTGTGTATCAGTGTGTATCAGTGTGTATCAGTGTGTATCAGTGTGTATCAGTGTGTGTCAGTGTATCAGTGTGTATCAGTGTGTATCAGTGTGTCTCAGTGTGTGTCAGTGTGTGTCAGTGTGTATCAGTGTATCAGTGTGTATCAGTGTGTATCAGTGTGTGTTAGTGTGTATCAGTGTATCAGTGTGTCAGTGTGTATCAGTGTGTATCAGTGTGTGTCAGTGTGTGTCAGTGTGTGTCAGTGTGTATCAGTGTGTATCAGTGTGTATCAGTGTGTATCAGTGTGTATCAGTGTGTGTCAGTGTGTGTCAGTGTGTATCAGTGTGTATCAGTGTGTATCAGTGTGTATCAGTGTATCAGTGTGTATCAGTGTGTGTCAGTGTATCAGTGTGTATCAGTGTGTATCAGTGTGTCTCAGTGTGTGTCAGTGTGTGTCAGTGTGTATCAGTGTATCAGTGTGTATCAGTGTGTATCAGTGTGTGTTAGTGTATCAGTGTATCAGTGTGTCAGTGTGTATCAGTGTGTATCAGTGTGTGTCAGTGTGTGTCAGTGTGTGTCAGTGTGTATCAGTGTGTATCAGTGTGTATCAGTGTGTATCAGTGTGTGTCAGTGTGTATCAGTGTGTATCAGTGTGTATCAGTGTGTATCAGTGTGTGTTAGTGTGTGTCAGTGTGTGTCAGTGTGTGTCAGTGTGTCAGTGTGTATCAGTGTGTGTTAGTGTGTATCAGTGTATCAGTGTGTATCAGTGTGTATCAGTGTGTATCAGTGTGTATCAGTGTGTGTCAGTGTATCAGTGTGTATCAGTGTGTCTCAGTGTGTATCAGTGTGTATCAGTGTGTATCAGTGTGTATCAGTGTGTATCAGTGTGTATCAGTGTGTATCAGTGTGTATCAGTGTATCAGTGTGTATCAGTGTGTATCAGTGTATCAGTGTGTATCAGTGTGTGTCAGTGTGTGTCAGTGTATCAGTGTGTATCAGTGTGTGTCAGTGTGTGTCAGTGTGTATGTGTGTGTCAGTGTATCAGTGTGTGTCAGTGTGTGTCAGTGTGTATCAGTGTGTATCAGTGTGTGTCAGTGTGTATCAGTGTGTGTCAGTGTATCAGTGTGTGTCAGTGTGTGTCAGTGTGTATCAGTGTGTGTCAGTGTGTGTCAGTGTGTGTCAGTGTGTGTCAGTGTGTATCAGTGTGTATCAGTGTGTGTCAGTGTGTGTGTTAGTGTGTATCAGTGTGTATCAGTGTGTATCAGTGTGTGTCAGTGTATCAGTGTGTGTCAGTGTGTGTCAGTGTGTATCAGTGTGTATCAGTGTGTGTCAGTGTGTATCAGTGTGTGTCAGTGTATCAGTGT